AGTGCAAGGTCAGTCTCCTTTTGACTGGGACAGCTCTGAGCTGTTCTGGCTTAGATTCATGCCTGGGAAGTACCCTCCTCATGATATGGATCAGCTTAGTCCTCAAAGCTGCACACTTCCCTGCATTTGGCAAGGGGAGACCTCCTTTTTAATTTTTTTTTTACTTATAAAAACATTTTTATGCCGCCCCATTCGCCGAAGCCTCGGGGCAGCTTACAGCCTCACCCACCCTACAGGGTTGCTGCTGTGAGGATAAGAAAGAGCCCGGAGAGCCCCCTTGGCTTTCCCAGGAGAGGTAAAGGGCCCAGTTAAATTCAGTGTAACAAACCTAATGCTGCTGCTGCTAGTCTCGCCCTAGCCCACTCTTGGCCAGGCGTCTCTGCTGTAAGAAGAGAGGCAGCCGTTAAAACCCCCTTCTCCCAGGCTGTGCCCATTGGCCCCTGGATGCCCCAGCCCTGCAGTTGCCCGCACTTGGGAAGTCGCGACCTCCTTTGCAAATTGTATTTGTAAATACGGAACGAGAAATCCTCCACTTTGATGGCAGCCTCAGTCCCCTGGGGAGAAGGTTGGCGCTTCCTTGTTGCAACAGGAACTGTTGACTGACGTCCCCGAGGGCTTCTGGGTCAAGGCTCCTGCAGAGACAGGCCTCCCTGCAAGTGCTAGCCCCGTTAAACTCGAAGTGGAAAAGGTGGTCCGGCTTCCTTGCGTGGCATAGAGACTGCTTCCCCGTGGGCCTGAGAGGGTGTTGGGCTGCTGTTAGGACTCCTTTTCAGCTTGGGCCATTGTGCTCGGTGACACTCCTGTGTTGCCTGTCGAGCAACTAAGAAAGAAAAAGCCTGTTCTGAGGCCCTGACTCTGAGCTCTGTGTCCTTTGCCCATCTGGTTGGGACACCCCCCCCCCCGCAAATGAGGCCCTTGATCAAAAATGGCTCTACAGATTCAATGGCTATTTGTGCTGCCTACACTGAGGTAAAATCCCAGTAAAATAAAAGAGTACCAGGGACCAATAGTGTGGGAGTCCATACATAAATGAGCAGAATGACAGAAAAGCAAAATACGAGTTTTATTAATATTATCTTTTTTAATATCTTTTTAAAAGCCCTTGTTAAAGTATCAGTAGTTAACACTAGTGAAGAAGTATCACACTTTTAAAGTCATGTCACAGTGGCATAAACTTAAAAGGAGTGGGGAAGTGTGCGCGGCCGTCTTGCATTGTGAATGGCTCTGGTTCCTGCTCATGTGAGGGAACTGTCCCCGTTAGAGTAGCACGTGAGGTGGACGCCTGGCAATCCGTGTCCTTAGGGGCCAGCTCCCTTAAGTTGTGGCCGAGCTTCATGCGTTTCCAGCTCCTCCTCTTCATGGGGACCGTTCAGCTTGGGGGCCCTTTGCAGTTTTGCCATCCAGCTGGCCCTCTTCAGGGGGATGGCTTGCAGCCAAGCCAGGCTAGTATCCTCTTCACTGGGGACGAACAAATGCAGTTTGGATTTGACTTGGGCCCCTTGACGCCATAGCCCTGCACTTTTAATGCTAAGCCTTTAGATACTCTGCTCCAGTTTTGGCCTGCTGCAAAGAGTCGTTAATGCCAAGGACAGCTCACCGCTTTGCTGCACCTTGGGCTTGTGGAAGCACCGAAGGGGCGTGTTGTGTTACACTCAAGAAAGACAGGTTTGCTTCTGAGGGAATAAGCGGAAATTCACCTGGGGGAGGGGTTAGGGTTTGGGTTAAGGGGAGCTACTTTAGCAGAATTGTACTGCATTGTGTAACTCTGTTCTGCTTTTGTAAACTGTTCACAAAGCTCACGAGTGGGGAACGGTATATGAAGATTGTAAAATAAAATAAATGCTGGCGGTACAGCGGAGCCCCTACGAGGATCCAAAGGCAAGAACGTCTTCCATCACCCAGAAGGTAAGTTTGTCTGTCTGTCTTGTGTAAGCACCACACTGTGACTCTTAGAGTCAGGGAAGCAATCTCC